TCTATCTATCTATCTATCTATCTATCTATCTATCTATCTATCTATCTATCTATCTATCTATCTATCTATCTATCTATCTATCTATCTATCTATCTCATTGTTGCTATGAGTGTAATTAATGATGAGCAGTTATGTTGCCATGTGAGTAAGGCAGAAAGGTTCTTTTCGTTTACTAAACTGTCCACCAGGAGGCAGTATAGCTACACACTTGACTTCAGCTTTCACTCTTGAATCCCCCATAAATGTTTTGGTAGATGAAATTGGGATTCCACTGAGTGAGTCTCTGTTGCACACACCAGGGAAAGAAGATATCTGTAAATAGCAGCTGGGTGCCTTATTTATTTATATATCCCCCCCCAACCAAGAAACCCCAACTCCCTCTGCCCCCCACCCCCTAGTTGCTTTAGGCAACTGTCAGCCTCCTGTTCACCAGCCCACCTCATATGCACAAGTGCAGCTATAAACACAGTGACATGACACCCCGTTGGATGAAGCTGCAGCATAAAAGGTTGCAGATAGTTCCTTGCATCTGCAGGAGGTGCTGATTCCCTCTGTGTTTCATGACAGATGTGTCACTGAACTACTCGTTCACTGTACCTCACCAGCGGCTGCTTTTGAGGACTCTGAGCTAGTCTCACTAGGTAGGTTATTATCCATGGTGCTGCTGACAGAGTCCTAGAGTCAATAATAATCTTGTCATCTTTCTGTGTGAACCAGAGGGAGGGATCCACTCATTTGCCAAGTAGTATATAGAGGGCTTCATATCACGCAGACACATATAAGTGTGCACAATTGCACACAAATGCACAAGCCCTAGAGTTCTGACTGCATAAGACTCAGGTCCTGTGCTTTCAGATCAGACTCACGTGCAGGCTGCTTGGTGTTTCTGTCTTAGAAGTAGTACACGAGAGACATATATTAAGCCCCTGGTGTTGATAAAAACGGGAAATATTTGAGTTGACTGCAGTACATTATAAGTATTTGTGTCTCCTTCATGTATTTTTTTGCATATATGACACACATACATTTTAATATTAGACAAAGTGAGTAGATACAAACTAATTACAAAATGCACTTTTTAAATGATTATTTAATTTATTAAAGGAAGACAAAATCCAAACCTAATATTAATGTGGAAAAGTAATTACCCCGT